TGCAAATTACAACATATTTTTAAAACCTTCTTATTGATGCAATTTCAATAGTATTTTAAAACCTTCTTTATATTCATCAATAGACTCTCTTTACATTAGTATCACATCGAAGTATCAAGCATTTATTAATTTAGTATCATATCTACTAAATGTTTGATTCCCAATCCGAATCGCCTGTTATCTTACATATTATTTATTAATATATTTATATTATAAACTATATAATGTATATTTTTTGTTATAGTTGTAAATTATATTTGTAAATTAGATGATATTATAAATTTCAAATTTATTCTTATTTGTATAGTAAAATGATTATAAAATATTAACCAATAATTTCAATTTTAATGTATAACATTATTGTTAGTTAGGTTGTGATAATTTTGGATGAGTAAAGAGAATTAATAAATGTTTGATGTGAAATTATTATTATTTATTTTGTAATATAAAAGTGCTTTCCAATTTTTTAAAATTATTTTGATGTGATATTATAATATTATATTATAATTATTGATTATACAAACATCCAGACAGGAAACAGTGTCTCAGTATTTACCAATTTTTACAAAGTAATGAAAGTATATAATGCACCACTCCTAATTTCTTTTAGAAACTAAAATAACACAATTTTTAGAGATTTATAGTGATTTTTTGAAAAACATTTGGGACAAAAATTGTCAATTCCGCTGATTCTCCAATTCGACACAGGTATGGGTGTGACCGATTCGAGTCACTAATCCGATTTTTTAAACCTTGTTCTGCCCCATAGAGCAAACCTAGTCTCACCGCTATCCTATAGAACTTGCCCTTCAGCCTCACTGGTATGAGGTGATCACATAAAATTCCAGTTGCACATCTCTACTTTGCGGCTCTATTTTTGTGTGCGACATCTTCCTCGATCTCTCAATTTTCCTGGATTATCGACCCAAGACATCGAAAGTGCGGTTTTTTTGTACTTTCTGGCCGTCAATCTTAACTAATTCCTCGTCTCTACTCCTATTATTACTAAATTTGCACTCCATCTACTTTGTCTTAGTCCTCATAATTTTAAAACCTTTGGATTCTAGAGTGTCCCTTCAAAGTTCTAACTGTGTGTTGACATTGTTTCGAGTCTCATCAGTCAAAACTGTCATATGCGAACAACATGCACCATGGTACATCATCCTGTAGGTGTCTAGTTAAGTCGTCCATAACTAAGACAAAGATGTACAGCCTTAATGCTGACCCTTGATGTAGACCTATTATCACTGGAAACTTACTCGTCTCTCTACTAGTTGTTCGTACACTAGTTACTGCTCCATCATACATATCTCTCATCAAGTCGATGTAGTTTCTAGAGTCGATGTAGTAGGGCTCATAAGCTGGATCCCTCGATAGTTTGCACAATTTTATATGTCTCATTTGTTCTTGTTACCACAATACGTTTTCTCCATTCGTCTGACATTTTCATTGTTCTCAACACTTTGTTGAACAACTTTGTCAGCTAGTCAATTGCAATTTCCCCCATGCACTTCCAAACTTCTATCGGGATACCATCTGGTCCTAAAACCTTTCCTATCTTCATCCTTTTCAAAGCTTTTTTCACTTCCGACATCCTAAACCTACGAATGTATCTATGACCTTCGCCATCACTTATACCAACAGTCCCTTCTACCACTATGTTCCCATTTAATAATTTTTTAAGATAGATTCTCCACCTTTCGTTGACCTCTTCATCCTTCACCAAGACCCTTTGATCCTCACTTAATACATTTAATATAGTCGATGTAGTATGACTCATAAGCTTGATCCCTCGATAGTTTGCACAATTTTGTATGTCTCATTTGTTCTTGTAAATAGGTACCACAATGCTTTGTTTCCATTCGTGTGGCATTTTCATTGTTTTCAACACTTTGTTGAACAACTTTGTCAGCCAGTCAATGCCAATTTCCCCCATGCACTTTCAAACCTCTTTATCATTTTCAAAGCTTTTTTTTACTTTCGACATCCTAATCCTACAAATGTATCTATGACCTCTACCGTCACTGGTACCAACAGTCCCTTCTACCAGTTTGTTCTCATGTTGTTTGTCATTTAATAATTTTTTAAAATAGATTATCCACCTTTCATTGACCTCTTCATCCTTCACTAAGACCCTTTGATCCTCACTCTTAATGCATTTAATATGGTTTAGATCCCTACACTTTTTTTCTCTTATTTTTGCTAATTTGAAGATTTCTTTTTCACCATCTCTTGTTTCCAGTTTATTGTATAGATTATCATATGCCTTAAATTTATCTTTACTTACTATTTGTTTAGCCTTTTTCTTGGCATTTTTATATTCTTCTAAGTTTTGATCGTTTCTATTACACTCAATAAGTTTTATAACATCATCATTCCACCACCAAGTTTCCTTATCAAAGTTTCTTTTCCCTCTAGACTCTCTTAAAACTTCTTTTGCCACTTTCTTGATACATTCAGCCATCTCATTCTATTTTACATTGACATCATGTTTAGAGTTCCATTTTCCTTCTTCAACTAATTTATCCCTAAATAAGTCTATTTTCTCATTTTTTAAATTTCACCACCTAGTTCTTGAACGCCCATTACGTTCACCCCTTCTCCTTCATGCTCAAGGGGGAGGCTAAACAAGGCTAATAGAGTGATCCTTGGAAAAAACACTTTGGAGTGATCAACAGTTCCTGCAATAATAATTGCAAAAGTGCTGGCCTTCCACTTGAGCATGGTGCTCAACCAAGTGATAACTGTATTGCCGCAATCCTTTGTCCAAGGTCGGTGAATCCTTGATAAAGCTCTCATAGATCACTATTGTATCCATGTCAGACAGCGATCCAACTGAACTGTCCTTAATTCAAGCTCTCAAAAAGGCTAACAATCATCTAGATTGGGTGTTCTTGACCAAATCATGGACAAGGTAGGTTTCAGGCAAATATGGCACTAGTGATATCAGGCTGTTTATCTCTGCTTTCTTCTCACTTATTATCAATGAAATACCTGTGATTTCTTCCCGTCTTCAAGGGGCCTGGCCAAGGGGAACCCTTTCCTTTTCACTATCATGGTTGAAATCTTTGCCAGGTCCCTTTTTTTTCTTCTTTGAAACGTTGGCTTTGTCTTTCTATAACTGTAACAAAATGTTTACAAAGTTTAATGAAAACCCACACAACATACTAGCTTTTGAGTTCATGTACAAAAAGGGTGTCGGGGAAAGCATGCTATGCATAAGAAAATAAACCTTAAAAGCTAGTGACATGTGAAAGAGCTCCCTCTTTTGCAAGTACGTCCGTGCTAGAGTTGGCCTCTTGCCAGGTATGTCAAAAGGAGATGTGAATATGCCTACATAGAAATAAAATATGCTCAAAGATGTGCTCGAGATGCCGTGGACAGGTGGAGGCACCTGAGGCCCATGCAATGCCATTTTTTGAGTCTCCTACAACCAAAGAGTCCCCCCAATTGTGGCTATATTTCGTGCTGCCCTCTAGGATGCCACTGCTTCCGACATGATCTACTCAACATGGCTAATATGACCAGAGTAGGAGAGAAGAAAATTGAGTTGTGGTCTCTAAATAGGCTCCAAACTCGTGAGGCCTGGGTTTCCCATGGAGTAGGCATCTGAGGCCCATGCAATGGCGTTTTCTGAGTCTTCTACAACTAGAGAGTCCCCCCAATTGTTGCTATATTTTGTGATGCTGGTACTGAGTCCTGCTTCCTCCCTGGCAAGAGCATCTCCTGCTGCGTTGGCCTCCCTGAAAATATGACTCCCTGAGAGGTGCATAGACTGAAATGTGTGAAATCTCATAAAAAATATGTTCAAGTTTTCAGGGGCAAGGTGCCGACCAGAAGCCCAGGAAATGATGTTCTTGGAATTGTTGGCTATGTGGCCTTTCAAGGCCTTAAAGCCAAGAGTCTTATGCTCAGTGGGAGTTAGAGAGAGAGACTGAATCTGGGTGCTTGACGCACTATGGCTTAGATTCAAATACCCGAGTTTTATGAGGTATTTAGAGCTTGCATTTTGTGAGAGTGATATTTCGGGGAGGTGTGAGGGTCACCTTCGAGTCAAGACAATATTGATTAGCATGCCTCATAGTTGATCTGATAAGCTAGGACTTGGAGAATCCAATTGAGTATAATAGAACCCAAGTATTTAAAAGAGTATTCGCCCTGTCGGTGCACATGCCATAGGGAGGCCACGTGGCACCCCTACCTCCCCACTCGTGGATGACATCATGCTGAAATCATATCCATGTGGGGACCAATTTGTCATTAGTTCTTTTGGTGGTATTGTGTTATAACATATTATCTTGTTATGTAAAGTGTTATATATTGTTATGACTTAAGTTTGATTTAAGTCATGTCTTTTTTGGCTCACATGTGCCATTTTTTAGCATGTGTGAAGTCATGGGATTTTGAGAATTAATTTGTTTTATATTATTATCTACATATGATTTTGTGGGATGTGGGTATATCTTATGTGGCACCACTTTATGGGCTTGACCCATCTGAAACTTTGAGTTGTTGAAATCGTATCGGTTGTGTCATAAGATATTTTATTCACACGTGTGGATGTGCCATATTACCTTTATGTCTATGTCCTTGTCTTTTATTGACTCTGACAAATTATTAAAAAACCATGGGCATAAGTGTAAACATAAATTTGGACTTAATGAGAAATAAAACATGGAGCTAAGGATTTTAAGGTAAAATGACTATAAACTTAGGTTTTAAGGAGTGAAGAGTGTCAAAAGTTCATCTATTGATCTTGGTGATAAGATATGGATGAGTGACTTGGATAAAAGCCTTTCAAGTGCCATTGATCTAAGGCATCAAGGATCAAGATCAAATCCACCTTTATGATCTAAGTATAAAAGTAACTTATGAGATCAATTGTAACCCTTATTTTGAATTTCACTTCAAAGAAAGAGAGAGAGCCCCCTTGAAAAAAACATGGCCAACATGGCCCTCTTGAGATTAACACCCCCATTCTTGTGTTCTTCATTTTATAGCCTTGAGCTGAAACCTTTTAATGGAGTAGTCCCTCATATGCGAGATCAAGCCCATAATATTACTTCACCAAGGTATTGTTTTTCTTCATATATTCCATTTCTTACATCATTTCCATTATCAAAGCTTGTTGTAATTGTTAATTTACAATAACTTTCTTTATCTTTTGGTCATGAAAACTTGATATTTGAAGAGTCTCAAAGTAATAGTGTAGTCCATACACATGGCATGTGTAGACTAGCTTGCTTACTCCATGATCTTGAGTCGTTTCACCTTGATTTTCTTGTTCTTATTTTTTTGGAATTTTGATTGAGAATATACAACTGATGAGAAGTTTATTTCATCATATTTGAGCATACAATATAATCCCTTGAGTTCCTTTTTGAATGTTGAAAAGTTCGTATGGTCCCTTATTTCGTGTAGTATCTCTTTCAAACTTTTAATGGTTGTTTCACCATTATATATCCCTTTCAAACTTTTGTGTAGTATCCTTTATGGATCACATGGTGTAGTTTCACCATAAATTCCTTATTTTGTGTAGTATCTCTTTCAACTTTTAATTGTTGTTTTGATACATGTCTCTCTCATGATTTGATCGCCACTAAATGAAATAAAAGTGATCATTTGCTTCCCATTGGATTGATCTCCTTGAGTCATTATTATCACCCGTGCCTTAGACAATGGGACAAAATTAAGTCCTCAACAGACCCGTTCGTGGCTCGAGCATAAGGGGTTCGAACTATGGCTTCCCCCATATATGTTTGCATGTTAATTTAATATATTTATAGTTATTTAGTGATTCATGATTGATAGAATTGAGTATGTTATTTAAATATTGAGATTGTTCTTTAATCTTGCGGTGTGAGATTTAATGCTATGCTTTATTGTTTATGTTAATTGAAAATCTTATTGGATTATTATGATCAAGTGCATGATATGTATGAGACATTGTGATACATGATGAGGATGAAGAATGAAGATGGAATTATCATGTAATTTTGACATAATGAAGAGATTTGAGTGCAAGTCATGTAATTATCGTAGAGATGTACATTGTGAGTATTTGGACATTGTATTGAGTTGAATTGTATTTTTGAGTAAAGGATTTGTGAGTATTTGGACATTGTATTATGGTTTTGTATTGAGATATTCATGCATTTAAACCCTTGAGTTTTAATGCAACGGAAAATTTTAAAAGATTGCGTATCTAGCCCATTGGTCTTATACCACAAAGAGGAATCACGCTCAATTAACAATTTGGAGCTCCAGCTTGGATTGAATTTCAAAGGCCCTCTGTGACAGCGAGAGCTTCCACAGTGGTGGAATCAGCAATGCCAATAGAGAGGGAGGAGGAAAGGACGTTGTCGTTGTTGGTTCTGAATATTCCCCCTATATACCAGAAGGGCCTGGGTTGCCGAGAGCGCAATCGTCAAAATTCAGTTTTGTTTCTCCTGGGTCAGGCTGTCTCCACAGGGAAGCTCGTGAGATCCCAATGGGTCTCATGTTCAAAAGAACCTGCTAGTTATGGTGGAAATTTGGTGTAGCAGAGAATTATGAAGGATTTATGGTTTGTGCCCCAGAAGGTAATCAGAGTTCTAATCCCATCTATCAAGCAACTGGTTGTGGCTCTTTCACCCCTGAATATTCTGTTGTTCCTTTCGAGCCAAATTACCCACAACATGGTGGCCAAAGAGGCTCTCCAGAGAAGAGTGCCTGACTTGGGCCAAGGGGTGCTGAGGAAGGCAGAGAAAAGGTGGGGGACCGCACCCATGACCAGTTGAAAAGTTGAAGCATGTCACTCCAAAGGGCACCGGCTAAGTCAATGGATGAAGATGTGTGCATTTGCTTCCTCTGCCTCTAAACACAAGGGCAGTCCCATGTAAGTGGACGGCAGGTCATCAACTAAACAGCCCCCCCTGTCTGCCAAGCTACGAACAGTGCGCACACCCATCATCTTGGACTTAGCCATGTTGAACCTGAAACCAGAGGCCATTTCGAAACATTTGAGGAATAGGAGGAAGTCAACTTGCTGTGTGGAGGCATCATAAAAAAGAAATGTGTTGTCAGCGTATTGGAGGTGGGATATGACAAGTCCTAGGTGACGTGTATGAAAGCCTCTGAGGATGCCGGCTTGGTACAACCTAGATATGGGTAACTTGGGATGTGGTATATGGTCTTGTATGTTGGGAACCGAGACTAGCTTGATTGCCCCTTGTTGCGTTGAACCCCCCCACTACAACAAATCCAATACCTTGCAACCAATTTGCCTCCGACAAATTGATTCCTCTCATGACGTCTCTGTGTCTGTCCCTCTGCCCTCCTCTTCCCCTCTTCCTCTCCAATCCCTTCTCCTCTACCTCCTCTACATCCTCTACCTCCCCTACACCACCTGGGGGGACCCCTTCCAACCTAACGGACACCATAGCCCCGATCCCTCCTTGCCACTCATCTCTAACCACTCAAGATAGGCCCGGTTCCTTGGCTACATCAGCATACTCCACTTCAGCATCTTCCAGTTGTATCAAAGGGATTGACAGATCACTTGGAAACATATTAGAAGTCCTATAAGTGTGGGGATATTACTACGACGGACCCGAGGAAGATATCAGAGCCTTTCTTAAGGCCACGCCCAGGCACGTAGCTCAGTTCACAACTCACATATTAACAAGCCTCATAACCTCCCTCTTGGAGTCAGATCCATGCGAGTGAACCTCCCGACCGTGACGAAACCTCTGCAAGCCTATCCAATGCGGCAGGCCAGCCCCACAGGAGGTCCTCCAGACTTGCCTCCCCCTCCATTCGCCTTTCATGAAGCTTTTCACATGGAATGTGATAGGTCTTGGCAGCCTCCAAAAACAGGAGGTCGTTCGTGAATTTTCCCTTAAGCACCAACTCTCGATCCTCGCAATTCTTGAAACCAAGCTTCCCTCCCGAACACTCTACCAGATCCGTCAAGTTTGGGGGAGGAGGCCTAGATAGTGGATTGGCCTGGAAGCTCAAGGGACCTTTGGTGGCATTTGGGTCATTTGGGACCCCACTCTTCTTTCCCTCTTATCCTCTACAGTAGCCTCTTACTCTGTCACAGTGGCCCTCTCTAGGGTCTCCGATGGCGTCCCTTAGCCTCAGGAACCTGCTTTGAGAGGAAGTAGAGGAGGCCGCCACCCTCAATACCACCACTTGGTACATTATTGGTGACTTTAACATCACCAGATGGTCCTTTGAAAGGAATTCCAAATCAAGGGTAACCCAGTGTATGCTTATTTTCTCAGATTTCATATCAAGGCACACTCTCTTAGACATTCCTCTCTAGGGCGCAGACTTCACCTGGTCTAACCACTCCACCCCGAAGCTCGACCCCAAAATCGAATTGGAAGAGTACCTGAGGCTTTCTACTCTCTTACAACCTGTTTTTCTTCCCACCCTTGGGGACGACCTGCTCATCTGGTCCCCTACCGCCTCCGGCCTCTTCTCAATCTCTTCCTCCTACCACAACGTTATCCCCGCCCCCTCAGCCCCCCTATCTCATCCAAGGCCTGGTTCTCTTTTGTCCCTCCCAAAATTCAGTTTTTCAGTTGAATTGCCCTAAGCCCGAAAGAGCTCTAACCAATGACCAGATCCAAAGAAGGGGGGCGCCTATATCGAATAGATGTGTAATGTGCTTAGCTGTTGAAGAGACCAATGTGCATCTTTTAATCCACTGTGGGGTGGCAATGGAACTTGGAGGTAGCCTCTTATATCTCTTCCATTGGACCTGGGTCACCCCTAGGTCAGTCCCCCACCTCTTCACTCCATCACACTCTATCCCTCGGGCCAAATCAGGCATCCTCCTTTGGAGGGCTTCGGTTGCAGCCACACTGTGGGTCATTTGGATCAAACATAAAATTAGGACATTTTTGGGTGAATTTGCATCATCTGTAACATTAAAGTCATGGATGAAGGAACTGTTGGTGGTATAAGACCAATGGGCTAGAAATGCAATCTTTTAAAAAAATTTGATTGTAGGGTTTAAATGAATGAATATCTTAATACAAAACCATGATATATATATCCCAGCCTACAAACATGGTTTATACACATTTAAATAATAAAAATTCAACCCTAGTAGGTCGCTTACAAATCTCTTACTCAAAAATACAATGTTCAAATACTTACAATGTACATCTCTACAAAATATTACACGACTTGCATTCACAATTCCTCATTTTATCAAAATTATATGATAATTTCATCGTCATTCTTTATCCTCATCATATATCACAATGTCTCATACACATCATACACTTGTTCATAATAATCCAATGAGATTTCAATTCACATAAACAATAAAGCATAGCATTAAAGTTCATACCACAAGATTAAAAAACAATCTCAATATTCACATAACATACTCAATTGTGCCCGGGCCACGAAAGGGCCATGCAAAACATACATGGGGGAAGCCATGGTTCGAACCCTTTGTGCTGGGGCCACGAAAGCGCCTTTTGAGGATTTAATTTTATCTCATTATCTAAGACACGGGTGATAATGATATAACTTAAGGAGATCAATCCAATGGGAAGCGAATGATTACTTTTATTTCACTTAATAGAGATCAAATCATGAGAGAGACATTTATCTAAATAGCCCTTCAAAGTTTGAGAGAAATACTACACAAAATAGGGGAGATATGGTAAAACTACACCATGTGAGACCACACAAACTTTTCAACATTAAAAAAAGAACTCAAAGGACTATTTCATATGCTCAAATATGATGAAATAAACCTCTCATCAGTTGTATATTTTCAGTAAAAACCTCTCATCAGTTGTATATTCTCAGTAAAAACCTCTCACCAGTTGTATATTCTCAGTAAAAACCTCTCATCAGTTGTATATTCTCAGTAAAAACCTCTCATCAGTTGTATATTCTCAGTTGTATATTCTCAGTAAAAATCAAGGTGAAACTACTCAAGATCATGGAGTAAGCAGGCTAGTCTATACATACCATGTGTATGGACTATACTCTTGCTTTGAGACTCTTCAATTATCAAGTTTTCATGACCAAAAGATGAAGAAAGCTACTATAAATTAAGAAT